CCTTTCATTCGTAAGCGTTTTTTGTTTATTACTTGAACTGTCTGTGTACGGATATTTGTTTATGTGTGGTACCGTCCTCCTTCACTTATTATTATAAGAATAAGAGCATATTGAATTATAAAAAATGGTTCTTAAGCATGTCTCACACTATTGTGTCACTATTGTACACATTGTGCCAACTTTCGCAAGTATTCGCTTAGGCTAATGTGCTCTTTGTTAGACCAAAGTAGCACAATGTGTCTGTTGGTAGTTAGGAGACGTAAAGGTCTCATAAGTCACGTCGTTTTTTTTTGCATATATTCAAAACATTGCCAAAATTTCTATTGCTAACATACCACATATTTTATACTCAATTTAAATGGTTACCTTTTTTTCACGTCCCTACCCCTTTCCCCGTATATCTACTTCCGACCCATTAAATTTCGCGGAACGTAGGTTGGGAAAAGCTCTCCTAAAAAATCGAAATGTAAAGACATTGAACATCCTTTTGTTGAGAGCTTAAGGAAAGGTTAATTTTGCTTGATTGTAAATGGCAACATGCCATGAATTAGTGTATAATTTAAGTCATGAAAAGTGCCTTTGTCAGCGTATCAACTCAATTAAATATTTAAATTGAACATTTGTTGGATTCTTAATTTCATATATTAACGTTTTATTCGATTAGCGAAGATTAGATGAAGTCGCTGCTGTAGGATTGCCAATATGGATCACAGAGTTGGATATTTCTGAACCCGATGACGAGCTCAAAGCACAAAAATACGAAGATCTCATGAGGTTGTATTTCAGCCACCCTTCCGTTAGGGGTGTCATGATGTGGAATTATTGGGACCAACGACATTGGCGACCCATGGCTGCCATTGCTACAGGTGATGACGTTATTGTGAGTATTATCACATATTGAAATGACATGGGTCAGCTTCTAAAATTTTAAATGGCACGAAAAACCTACGCTCTAGTGTACGCCTTGGCGTTCACGTACGGTTCGACGAAGAGTAGGCATAAACACCCATGTCCGGGGAAGAGTCCCCCAACGCCAGCAGGCATCGACTTCCATTTGTAATTAGCGATGTGCTCTGTTATATTTGTGTTAGCTCCTTTCAAAAGGCCGTCATATGAAACTTACACAAGACGAGGTGCGTAATTACGAGTGCAAAGCATCTTTTAGAGTATTACTATAATCTGGTTTAATTTGATTTTGTTTACAGCCAAATGAAGCAGGAATGAGAGTGATCGAATTACTGTCGTCAACTTGGAGAACTAACGAATCACATGAAATTGATGTTGGTCAAACGGTAAATATCAGGGCGTTTAAGGGAGTGTACGAATTAAGTGTTATCCATAATGGTGAAGTTATTCGTTCTAGAAATTTCTACCTAACTGACGGAGGAACCAATTTGGATATAACTCTAGCAGGAACTGGTAAGTTTTTGACATAGAACGTATACAGTACAACTTGATGGAAACCATAAGATATAATAAAATCCGATGAAAGTATTTTGGAAATGTACATCCATGTCCTCCCTCAACCCCATGCCTGCTATACATAATTTGTTTTGTACGTCCTTTTGTATTTTCCCCTGGATTTCGTTTTTAACAATATTTCCGTACCATAGACGTTTGTAGTATCGCTTCGCAAGCCCACGATCAAATAGTTCACAATTTAAAATACTGTTTTGTATGTTATAATAATTTAATGTTTCTATTATAGATTCCAATCCACGTGTTAGTAAAGTAGAGGTCGAAAGATTGTAAATGTAACATTTTCACACAGATATGAGAGGTAATGCATTCAGCAGTTGCCCACAAACTCTGAAACGAACATATTGGTTAAAAATGTATTTAATATAAAATGTAGTAGGCATAACATATAATAAAATATATGAATGGTTCTAATCTTGATGTTTGTGTTATAAACCAACGGAAGTGTATTAAAAACATTAATCAAAATGCCTCTGTTGGGGACTACTAAGCTACACTGGGGCTACTTGGGCATCTCACCTCCAAGTTTAACCTTGATTTTGCCATAAACCATTGGTAGTGCATAAAACAAACATCAATATTTATGGAAAATAGGTGGTATTCTGACTTTGTTGGTGGCTACTGTGTACACAGGATTTACCCCAGTTTCCTAAGTTCAAGTCCATATTTTCACTCACTTCAATGAGACGTAGGTATCTAGTGTGTCCAGTGCCGAAATTATCTATAGACTTTACTGACTGGTGCCTAAGGGATTCAAGTTCATGGGTACCCCCGACCAAGGTGTTTAATATTTGGACACTGTAATAAGCCTGTATTAAACGCACTGTAGTCTTAAGCATCCCTTATCATCGGTTTTGTTCAATTGTTTTTAAAACACACTTTCATTTTGCTTGAGTCTTGAGCGTGGGGGATTGGGAGGACATCTAAGTTAAATAGCCTAAAAACGGCTATATGTTGTAATATTCGTGGTCGTTGCTTTTGGAATATGAGTACCTCGCTACCACTAATTCGGACACAGGGTGAACCGACGGTTCGAGCACAGACGTTAAACAGCTGCTAGGTGGCGTTAATAGGAGCTAACTGGATATGAAAGGATTAAAAATCCTCAGGCTGAAAAGTCGTACATTCCCTAGCAACCCATCCGTTTGTTGTCTGCTCGGCTGGTATGGTTAGTGTTTGGGACAAAAACGTGAGACTTTTACACAGAACATTATCTGCGATTAAATGCTGGAAATGGGAGTTGCCAGTGGATTATCCAAAAATGTACTTGCGCTTCGATGTGTATGGTAAATATACAGCAAGGAAACGATAACTGCAATCTGGAAATAGACCCTCCCTCAATGAAGTCACGAGATGAACAGGGCTGCTCAAAATAGATTTCTACGGTTTTGGGGTAGTATTTTGCGATTAAGATGTTTGGAGGGAGATCTGAAGCAAACGTGTGATAGATGAATTAATTTGAATATGTTTTAGTCCAAATATAAATCATCAAATCACTCATGCAGTTTTTACGTTGGAAGGAATTTGTAAGGCCATATTCCTTGCATTATTCCCATCTTTTTTTGTTATTTGAAGTAGTCATAGCAGACGAGTAGGACGTTAAACCCCATTTCATTTCATTTTCTTTTTGAAGTAACTTAATGGGCTTCGAGTTAATGCAGAGTTCTTTAATGAACAGTCTGCTCTGTCAGTGATGCTACAACATACTAACACTAACTTATGTCGATTTCGACTGCTGTTGTTCATAACACCCCAACGATTTGGTTCTCGCTTCACCGGGTCATCCACACTGTACAACTATTGACAAGGGAAAGATCACACTGGACAATCCCGACAAACAATCTCGGGCAACACAGGAATCAAACCATTGTCATACTAGCCTAGCTACCATGACACATATAACATTAATTAATGTAACTTTTACGGCTTTACGTTTTATGAAAAAAATAAGCATAATATAAGAGTATAATTTATTTTCTACTAATTCTATTCAAATTAAATTTATTTTTTAATTAGTATCTCGTTTCATATCCCATATATTGCGTTGTAGAAAATAAGTAGCTCAGAAACTAACATATTGGTCTATAATTCTTTTCAACCTTGATCTTGAACTATATAATAACCTCTGTAGTGTAGTATCTGACAACCTTGCTTTTGGTAAATCTGTACAATAAAGTTACGCGATCTTTCTTTAAGTATTAATAGAACTTACAGCCATGTAAAAAAAAGAAAAACGTTAACAGCAATCTTAAATTCCTTATATCTTTCCTGTAGCAGAAGAACGACGATGTAACAAATTAAAATATTGTTTTTACAAAAAACTCAATTTTCTCGGCATGGCATGGCATGAATTAGGACTGCATTACCAGAATAACTTTGTTCGCCCAATTCGAACGGCTTAGCAACACTCCCCTACTCGCTGCCATGTAGGATATTATCGCGTCAAGTATGAATTGTGTTTGATAAACCACATTGTATTTTTAAAAAAAAAGCTGAAATGAGGCGGGGGGTTTAACGTTCTATTCGTTTGTACCAATAAGGCTAATGAAGACGACCATAAGCCAGGTGCCTCGATACATTTTTTGATGAATTACAACTGTCATGGATTCTTTCATCTGCATGCCAACGCTGGACACGTTGCTCCTTGCCATGCCATCCATCTTTTACCAAGGACAATAAAATCCCCGAGGTACTTTATCGGCCAACACCGGGAACGAACCCGAGATCTGCTGGTTAATGAGTCATCGTTGCTCCCGTTTCGAAAAGGAGCAAGCATCATATATATTCAAAAGTATTCAAATCCAGGAATCCCTGGTTCGTAAGCCACAGTGGCTTCCGTTTTGCAAAGGAACAAGCGGCATATAATTATGTGTATTCAGCCATACACAACCCCCACACTGATCAGCAGTGAACATTCGCTAGGCCGCGATAATCACTGATAAGTGTTGCCATCGATGCGACTTAATGAGCCACAAATATTAACTTTTTTCCTCCGACAAATTAAATTCTAAAACATTTTTTGTATGTATTAGAAAAATAAATAAAGACGTTTGACGTATTTGTAGGTAAAATTGCATTCCTATTTAGTGTAAATGGGTATTAAAATGAGTAAAACGCTCCATTCTTAGTAAGGTCTTATGTAAACAATGCACGCGCCATTGAGCCAATGATTGGCACCGCGTGATATGACATCACGTGTTGAAGGTAGTCATATTTTACAGAAATATTAGAAGACTTTCGTAATCCTCTGTGAAACAGATTGATCCGACCCCATGAGCTCCTGGTTCGTGAGCCATCATTGCTCTTGTTTCGAAAAACCGTATTCGTATATTCAACCATATACGAATCCTCGAACAAGCGTCATAATATATATTAAACTTGATCGAAATCGTGATGTGTATTATCTGGCAGTGAACCTCCTTATCGTTATCAATAGTATACGAGACGTGATTTATCTAGGATTTAAGGTTTTACTGTTCTTTAGCAATCTGTAAAGCAGTGGAACAACCAGGGCCATAATTAGACATAGCTAGAATTTGGTTTTGAACACATGCTATCGTCAACATGCTGTTGTTTCTTCTAATCCTTCCTGGGGTTCTTAAAGCCCAGAATTTAGTGACAAATCCTAGTTTTGAGACTTTCAGTAAATATGATTGCTGGTCATGTACGTGTACCCTATCTTCAGACAGCCATAGTGGTTCCCATAGTTACAAGGTAACAAATAGGTAAGACACTTTTATTATTATTACAGTCATCATTGTGACGCAAAAATCCCAATCTTAAGATAGATGAAAATGCTGAAGCGAATCGGCGAACCAGAGGTTCTTTGTGGTTGTTTTTTTGGGGGGTTGTTATTACATGTTTTATAATTTCTATAAACCCGTATCCATAAAAACTATTATAATCTCAGTGGATGACGTCATGGACACACTATTCTGTTCTCAAGCAAGTATCTGGATATATTTTGTCCGTTTTGACGTCAATTTTTATTTTTCTATTGTTGTTTTCCGGCGAGAAAAGGATTTTATTGGTTTATTGAAGCGTTTAAATTACCCCTTGGTGAAGTTCACTAACGACATCTAAAGTATCACTTGTTGACAGTTGGAATTCGAAATAAGGGTAGGCCATTGTCGCACACTGTATGGCGTATTTTCATTTTCATTAGCCCAGTTGTTTGTGCATATTCTGGAAATGTAAACGATTATTTACTTTGTAAATGCAGACAATATGAATGGACTGGTCCTTCTCAAGAACTAACTATCACTCCAGATAGAACCTACTCTTTCAAGGCCTGGGCAAAATTGCTCAATACAGCTCCAGGCAAGATATACAGTAATCTAGATTCACTGCTAGAAATGATAGACAACAATGGTACGTGTATAAAGTATAATATCTCAATAGTAGCACGGTGCTCTTCCTTTGTTTTCTTCAAACGAGGTCCCTACTGTAGTTGCCGGAAACAGTAAGTCAGGCTAACTCTTCTGTGTGCACTTAAAAGAAAGGTTGTGGAACTCTTGTGGGGAAAAACACCACAGACACCACAGACACCACAAACCCAAAACACTCTATCAAAATTATTGTAAGCCGAAAATTTTGTGGAATGTGGTACCACATGGGGAGATAAGGGAGCCAAACCTTGCCATGTCTTCACTGCATGTAGATGCCTAAAAGTCTGGTTATTTTCATCTGAAAATGGCGTCAGGACCAAGATCGATACAATACAGCTATGTATATTGTGTCCTGTCCATGGGTGTGTCTTGTGTAATTGATTTTGTATTGTGTGGCCCCGCTGCACTTACTATTCATTCAAGAAATCAGGCTGCCAACAAATGTGTCCAAATAATTGACACCACCCCTACCCCGCCCCCACCCCCCAAAAAATATATATATGTGAAAGATATAAATTTTAATGATAATTTTCTTCTTGCAGGTAAACAAACATATGTTTCTGCTGGTGTAACGCCATTCATCACACCAGGAAAATGGCACGTCGTTGGAGGAGATTATTACATACCGGCTAACAGTAATTATCTTCAATAACTTCAATTTATCATGTCCTACACAAAATAAAAGTATACATTCAATATCCTTGATAGCATGCTTACGCAGATTATTTCAAAATGGAGGCACTTGGCTGGCATACGAACAATTTCTAATTTAAATGTTGAATTTTAACCCCCCGGGGCGGCGGAGGAAATTTAGTCAAGCGTAAATTTCAAATAAATTACCAATACGTAACTAATTCACAAAATTGTTTAAGTGGCATTTAGTAACTGGATGAGAATAACACATGACACAATTATATGGAATACAAGTTACTATGTTGGTCATTCTTTGCTTGACAAAGACGGGAGAACCCTCGTCGAAACGTCGCTGTAATAAACTCTTCAAGTAACTTGTATTCCATATAATTGTGTCATGTGTTAATTCACAAAAGCCTGTTACTTCATACCTTTGTAATATTATTGAGTTATTGGTGATTGAAGGGCTTGTCGATGTTTAAGCGACGATTTAGTAACTGGACAAGAATAACACATGACAAAAAATATATGGAATAACTTGTATTCCATATATTGTGTCGTGTGTTAAACAAATTTTTAGATGTCAATTCGACGTCTAGGTCATTTTGTAACTAGCATAATATAACATTCAATTTTATTTGAATACATCGCAGGGATCTTAGCAGTTGGAGGAAACATTAGGATCTCGAAAAAACCCAAGTGGTTGGACAGGCGACCGAACTCCTTTTTACGTGCCAGCAGAGAATCGAAACCACGCCACTTGACTCAATGGTTAAGATCTAAACCATTCGACCACTAATATGTTAGAAATTACTTTACCCTCAACCAATTCACTCCTTTAATCTATGGCGACACTATTTGACCTACATATCGATATCCCGGTTGTAACATAATTTATTTGTTACAGCGAAAACTGTAAGGTTTTCTGTGAAGGTCCCAGATCCATCTGTTAACTTCTTAGTTGATGATTATGAAGTCACGTGGATTGATCATTCCTATAAATTTGAAAGTGACGAAGATAAACGAATTGATCAACTAAGAAAAGCCAATCTTCAATTGAGGTATGTTTTATCTTTCTCTGATCGTGCGAATTTCGTATCGCCGCTCTCACTACGAACCATGATTTGCTCGAAAGTCGCAGCGGTTATAGGTTGCATTTGCGGTGGCGGTCGTGTTCGCACTCGGTATAAATGACCATTTACGGATAGGCTGACAGTTTATTCTAAAATAACAGCACAATTAATATAACTCCACGTGTTCCCAAAAAACAAACAAATGGCGGCATGAAATAATTAGAAACAAATGAAAACGCAATATGGCCATAGGATAAGTTGTTGGTCAATTTGAATAATATTTGAATCGAAATCTGTTTTTTAAATAAAAGTATGTTTGATTGCGTATGGTGTTAAACTTTAAACTGGTCCATTGTGGCTTCAACGTACCAGGAGATACCATAACAATAAATAAAATTAAAGAACATGTACACTATTTTATTACAGTTTAAGTGGTTCAACTGCCCCTTCTGGTCTAAGTGTCGAGGTGCGTAGCCATTCAATGTTTAAACAATGTCACATATAATCCAGACTGCCTAAAGCCCTATTCACAGCTTCACGATATTTGACCCCATGTGGTACTACTGAGAGCAAATCGGGCGTAACAGTGGAGATCCGTGACGAGACATTATTGAAACCGCTTTGATAAGTGTGAGCGGTGTTGAACTACATGTAGCTATCGTGATTTTAAAATGTTTAAAACTACCGTGGCAAAAAGTACAATTCGTCGTGGTACCGTGGCATTACTGTTGACAACCGTAGCACAACAGTTTTGGAGCCACGCTTTGTTTTGTAATGGCAGTCCTACGGGTGCTACTACAGAGAAGGTGTAACCCAAGCTTTATGGATGGCATTTTAACGATGACACGCATACACATTAACATATGTATCTACGAAATATTTTAGACTTTAAAGAACATACTATTTACTTCCACATATTTACATATGTATAAACATCTAATATCCACAGATTTTTAGACTAGAAACTGGGTCCCAAGAGCTATCCGTCCTGTTATTCTTGATGTTTCCAGTACGATTGGCACGCATTTTCAGAATACAACTGTGTATCGATTGAATTTTTATATATCTGAATTTCAAGATGGCGCTGATGACGTCATGCTCGGCTCATGGTGCATACTATCGCATTTTTTATTGTCATTTTTGTCTTTGCATTTTTCTAACGCATAGGTTCAACAAGTTAAAAGTGAGTTTGGCTGGGGTTCAGCGATTAATGTAGCTGGTATATTCGATACATTTCGACCAAATTACATGAAGTTTTTCTACGATTTGTTTGAATGGAGTGTTCTGGAATGGAGTCTAAAATGGACAGCCACGGAACCTGTTAAAGTATGCTTTATATTTTGTTAAAAATCCTGTGGTTTAATATTTAAATGAGAATGAAATAAAATTGGTTTTAACGTCCTATTCGTCTACCCGTCTTCGTTAGCCCAGTTGGTGCAGAACAGTAGGACGTTAAACCCCATTTCATTATATTCATTATATTCGTCTACACCAACGGGTCTAGTGAAGACAGACATACGCCTAAGGTGGGACATTTTGCATGGACAGCGCTGTCAATGATTCCATTACGTACAACCCATCGCCTGGGCACCCTTCCTTGTCATGCCGTTCGTCCTGCGAACAAGATGGCACTAGCTGGAGGAACCTCCTTGGCCAACACCTTAATCGAGGCTGGTACTCAACGAGCTACCCTGTACCTATTAAAACATAATTTTAAGTTGTTTAATTTTACCGGTGGTTACTGATTTAAATTTCAATACGACATTTGACGATACTCGATTTACTCAAAATCTTATTTGGTGAAATGGTATATTATTATTTCAGGGTGAACTTCATTATAAATTACCACTTAAAGGTGTAAATGAAATGCTGTCGAAGGGGTAAGATTAATGTAACGTATATCATTAAAACAAAATTTTAAAACTTCCATTTAAATTTGAGGGGGTAGGGGTGTAGCCATCGAATCGCAGAGCGGAGGAACTCTTTAATAAAACCCGACCTTCCAATCAAATGCGCACCTCCAATCAAACACGTCATTCCAAAAAAATTTGAAAACATAACTAAGGACGGCACTAATTTGACTAACATTTAGCAGTGACAAAAAAAAAAAACAACAAATGTGTCGTCATTTCTTAGGCGCCTTGAATGCATTTTATTATATATGTGAAATTAAGATGTAGTTTTGCTGTATATTTTGTGCCATCTATCCTAAATGGATATAGTGTCGTCTATTCTAAAGGTATACAATGTCTTTTATCATAAAGGAATATAGTGCCATCCATGCTAAACGGGTATAGTGCCATCTATCCTAAAGGGATACAATGTCATCTATCCTAAAGGGATACAATGTCATCTATCATAAAGGATATATCGTACCATCCACACTCTACGGGTATAGCTAGTGCCATTCATCCTAACGGGATATCGTGCCATCCTCGAAATGGATATTGTACCATGTATTCTAGAGGGATATACCGCCATCTATCCTAAACAGTAATCCAATTCATCAAATCAATATAAAACGATATATTATTGTACTTGATAATTGGTGATCTAGACAGAAATATATCCCACCTCGCAATTAAACACGCTATATAATAAAATAAAACCAAGTACGAACAATCCAAACCATAAGACAGAATTCGAAGTCCTAAAAAACGTTATAGGCAAAATAGTGTATTCAAGCAAAATAGTGTAATCAGCAAATGGACTGCTCCTCGTGTACAAATTACACGACAAACAGTGGTAACAGATGTCCGGAAGAGTAAGCTTACCCTGCCTGGCGCCACACCCGCCATAGCTGCATCCAAACTATTAGGCGAAATGTCGGTAAAATAGCGTGATTGGCCAATGAACTATCGGTATACCAAATGCACGCGATGAACTGTGTTAACGATGTAGTAGATATTATCAGGGAGATAGTAATAGTATACGTGTCAATTAAATATATCTAGAATAATAGCCGAGAGAGACACGTTATATTTACCAATCAAATCAATATGACGGCCATAAAACTTTTTAAAGGTTTTAATAAGTTTAGTGCGCAAGTATCCTTGTAGTTGAAGCTTAGATGACAAATGCCTCGATCTACTTAAAAAATCAGAATAAAAGGAACAAGCTCTCGCGTAACGAATTAGCTGAGACACAAACACTCCATAAGCTGGTAATATTGGAATGTTACTACTAATAAATGGAAAGTTAACAATCGGAAAGTCAAAGTCATCACGTTTATCGTACAATTTAACACCCAGTTTATGGCAATTGTCAAAATCGAGACGCAGATCCAAGTAGGAAGCGTAATTGTCACTGTCAGTGGTGTTTTTAATTTCGAGCTCATCAGGATATATGAATTCTACATAATCACTAAATTTAGGATTATTAAGTGATAAAACGTCATCGATATATCGATAAGTGAAATTAAAAAGTCTGACTGATCGTTTATTAGTTTTTACGAGCGTCTGTATGTAATCGGCTTCGTACGAATAGAGAAACAGATCAGCAAGCAAAGGTGCACAGTTGGTGCCCATGGGAATGCCAACCACTTGCTGATATATTTCCCCTCCAAATTCAACAAAGGTGTTGTCAATTAAAAAATCCAACATCTGAATTATCTTGATGGCCGTGAATTTGTTTTTGGAATCACTGTGATTCTTAACGAAATATGTGGAATTGTAATTTACAACTAAATATTGATATCTCGCAGTACCTGATTTAGACGAAAAGACACTGTGAATAATGTCTTTCAACCGGGCTTTTAATTTACTATGGAGAATTTTAGTGTACAAAGTAGAAAAGTCAAACGTTTGAATAGATGAGACTGAAGCAAGGGATCTAGATTGCAAACCATCAAGTAATTCTTTGGAATTTTTCAATATCCACATTTGATTTATACCACTACGAGAGTATATTTTGTCACAGTATTTTTGAATACCCTCTTTAACAGCCGTTAGTATAGATGTCAATACTTTTGAAAGTGGTTTTGTGGAACAACGGGATGAACCTGCTATAAAACGTTGCTTGTAAGGATTTTTATGTAGTTTAGGTATCCAATATAACAAGGGCAAATCTGTGTAGGTATCTCCACACGGAGTACCAAATGAAGTGAGTACAGATTTGTGATTGGATATAATTTCATCCTTACTAAGAGTTGATCGTTTATATGTAGCACTGTCGATTGGTTTCCCGAAATTAAGTTCTTTGAACAGACAGTCAAAACAATGTCGTTTACATATAAACACTATGTTATTGGACGCCTTGTCAGCCGGAGCAATGACATACTTGTCATGCAAGGCATTGAGATTTTCAACAATGTTAACATCATTGAAAATAGACTTAGGCCTAGTGTCAACTGACAAACGTTGCATGTATATTCTTCGTTTAAGTAAACGATGATAGACTTAATCCAATCAGAGAGAGTATCCGAGATAACATCTTCCACCTTGGCACATGATCTAGCGTAGTTCTCTACGGCATCCATAATAAGTTATGGTTGCGGTTCCCGGTATTTGGGTCCTTTGGACAAAATTTCACGTAGCTTATTATTCTGGACTATGTTCAAATCACCAGTGACCACATGTCCAGCTGGTGGGTAAAGGAAGGACGACGTAGAGCAAGAACAGGGTAGAGGGTCATCATATAATTCTTTTACATTGATGTTAGATAATGCATTTCTGTAATTAAATATTTTGAATGCAATGGGTTTAGTATAAGTATAAGAAATCCTAGGAACAGTAACAGTTTTAAAGTAAGGAGGGATGTGTGCTGTGACTTGCTTATGGTGTAATATTTGGCTTAACCCGATAGCATCAATGCCTTTATTAGCAAATTTCAGTTTTAGAAATGAACTGTTGGTGGTGTGTGACGCATCAGGTTCAGTCGTAATGTCCAAACGACGGTGGGCAATGTCAAGAACAATGGATACAACCCTGTATTCAGTGGATGCAGGATCAGTACAATTTGAATCCAAACATTCAGATTTAAGTAATTTCCAAATAGTAAGTGGAATAGAATATAATTTAGTACGGATATGGTGTGGCCCTAATGGTTCTTGAATAATTTCCAAAAGGGCGTCCAGTGAGATAGTGCTGAGCTTAGGTGGTGTGTACCGACGATGTCCATGACTGCGTTTTCGACGACGAAACTTTGGGAATAACGTCATGACATTAACATCGCTACACACAGGGCTTGATAAATTCACAATACTAGCTACATTGTCATTGCATCCATAAGGGGTGGCAGTACCTAATGTTCAATACACTTACATTATTTGTTTCTATTCGATATATACTGCTATTGTATCATTATTTTCTTTACAAAAGTAAGCTCTGACTTACTTTCACACTATCTGTTTCAATTCTATTCCGAATATAAGGCTATTATAATCGTGCTTAATTCTTTGTAAATCTAAACCCTGGCTTAATTTCAGTATCAAGATCAGAGGTCATAATATATTTTGGGGAGGACCGAATGTGGTTCCAAAATGGCAAAAGGACATGTCTGGTTCACAGCTTAAACCACTATTGTCTAAACATATACAAGAGATGACCAGTACATTTAAAGGAAAGTAAGTTACTCCATTCTTGTAAGCGACTTGTCTTTTACCCGTGCGGGCGGGTCGGTCGGTCTGCGATTCTTTACCAACGTTCTTTTTCCCATTTAAGAATCAGTATTCTAGGATAAATGAAAGAGCCACCACAAATAGAACGAATTATCAAAACTAAAAGCAAACAATCGTCATTAACATGATGTGTTTATATTATAACATGGACGCCATGTTTCTAAATTTATATATATATATATATATATATATATATATATATATATATAGCCCCCTTATTCATTATTGGTTAATTAGGCCATGACGAAGTTTTAAAAAAAAAATACTTAGTTGTGCTGTTCAAAAGCTATTAGTTCCAAATTTCTAAATTTTGAAATTAGAAACAAACATTTTTCTCGTGATTCAAGGGGCTGTTTATTTATCAAGAACCCGAAGAATAGAATTGGTGATCTCTAATAAACTGTTACTTGTTTTCTTATTATAAACCCTCTGTATATTATATTCAACGACTACAAAACTGTGCTGCTTACATTGTGATAAAAACTAAATCAAGATCACACATCACCCCCGTTTTAAACAAATTACACTGGCTCCGTGTTCGAGAAAGGATTAACTTTAAAATCTTATCGTTAACCTATTGTTCAATTAACAAATCGGCTCCAGGTTACCTTCAAAATCTTTTATCACTCTATGAACCTAAACGCTTATTAAGATCAGAAGACAAATTAATGCATCAATATCCGACAATGTGATTCTGTGTCAGTTTTTAAATCCAGAGTGAAAACTTGGTTATTTAGTCAATATCATTAACACTTTAAATTGAGATCATTTCCTAACGCCTAGTGCATTCCCTAGTAGATTGAATAGTTGCGCGATACAAATACGCTGTATCACTATTATTATATATTCATTATCGTTTGCTTGATAAATAATAACGTTGAAAAGACGCTCAAGAAAACGTCGCTTTAATTAAAATAGTGTCCCATATTATTACATATATTTTAATAAATAAATTAAAATTGCTAAATGTCACCCAGACACTAGTTTCGATAAAATAATTCAGTAATTGTCTTCCTTAGAATTGCTATGGTTTATATTTATGGACCTCATGGCGTATTGGAGTTCAAACAAATGTTCAACATTTAGATTTCAGCATTGGGATGTGGAGAATGAAAATATCCATCTCCACTTCTATGAAGAGAAACTTCAAGATCCCCACATCACGGAATGGATGTTTAGAGAGGTTCATAAACACGATCCACATACTCAATGTTTCTTGAATGATTATGATGTCGTTGCTGGCGGAATGTCTACACAGGTTGGTAATATAATCTACTTTCTTATCTACCTTTATATAACCATATTTAAAAGGTAGGGTGGCCTAATAGTTTAACAGGTGCGCTTTAGATTATAAGGTCTGTCATTGAATCAAGTGGCGTATTTTCGATTCCTCGCGTGCACGGGACAAGGAGTTTCCTCCGCGTCCTCAGGCCCCCACCCCACCCCGCTGCTAAAGACCCGTACACTCAAGCGAATTATTGAAATTAAAAAGAACCGTTAGTACCGAAATGACCCAGTTTGTACCGAATGGATTTTAAACGCTCTATCTGCACCGATGGGACTAATGAAGACGGGCTTAGGCCCCGAAAGGGACAGTGACCCTATGGCTTACTCCTATTTCGAAATGGGATATAAGGTCCACTCGACACAAACTATAGATCATTTCGGGTCTACATGGTTTCATTTTATTTCAATAATTCGGTAGCGCGTAGGGGTCTTTAGCAGTGGGAGGAAACCGGTTGACTCTTCGAAAACCCACGAGGTCCGACAGGCGAAAACCCTTGAGGTTCGACATGCGAATCCACTCCTTGACACATACAACCGGGGAATCGACACCACGCCAGTTGACTCAGTGACAGACCTTATGATCAAACGCGCACGCGTTAACCATTCGGCCACCTAGCCACCCATCCTCAAATGAGGAGTGGCACAACGTTTTCTATAAATCCCCTGGAAATTAGTCACGTTGATTTTCTTCGGATTGCAGGCCTTTAAAGATCAGGGATTACAGTTTAAAGCTGATGGAGTTCCGGTGGCTGGTATGGGAATTCAAAGTCATCTTAGGTCAAACTTCGACTTGTCAGTGATGAAGGTAAATAAAGCTATTACTTTTTTCTGCGTAGACTACATTGTTTTACATTTCTGCCATACCTTGGCCTCTTACTAATTTTGAACCTTCTGTGGGAGTCGGATTTAATACTACATGAGTAAAACGTTCAACATGTCACGGTTACCTGATTCAATTCTTCACCCACTTTATTAATTTGAAGGGTTTTCCGAAATTCTATCCGAATTATCTCCCTTATTAATTAGTGTCCAAATGGAAGAACATTCACGAGACGACCATCGCCAAGACCGCGTTTGTTTTGTAAATCTTTGGGGTTTTTTTTTCACATTATGAGTGAATCCTGTATTATTACAGTTCGGGACTAAACAGCGCAGTTTACGTTCATGCGTTCACTTGATTTGAATTTTTTTTGTTTCTTGAGTAGTTTGCGTCTTGTACGCAGGTTTGACTTATCGGTTTTGTTTCTCGTCTAGTGTAGTCCTCCTGCACGTATTATGACATGGGTGGTGACCGGCTCGAGTATGTATTATTATTATGAGCACATAACGGAATTAATTTATCACCTCATCCTTCAGCCTGAATATTATTAAAATGAAAATGAAACAAACCCACCAATAACAAAAAAACAACAACAAAATACTAAGCAATGAATTTACAAGAAAGGCACAATATAAAAATAATGTTACCGACTTGGCCGGTGGTCAGTAACCAAAGTTAATTGGTATCTGTTATCTTCAGCATAGATTAGATGAGGTGGCGGAAGTTGGATTACCTATTTGGATTACAGAGCTTGATATTGATGAATATGATGCAAACAAAAAGGCCAAGAAATATGCCGATGTGCTAAAACTTTACTTTAGTCATCCGGCAGTCCACGGCGTCTTATTTTGGGGATTCTCGGACCAGCATCATTGGAGACCGAATGCCGCACTTGCTAATGGAAAAGATGTAACGGTATGTTTTTGTGTTGTCGGGAACACATGACGAAAGAGGTTTCTGTGTTCCTCCATAGTATGGGTGTTGTATTTTGAAATGAAACTCCTTTAATGAAGGACGGACTTATAGACAATCTACTTTGATGTACAGATAATATATGTTTCGCTCGATCTAGTCTGATGTGCCCTTTCCAGTCATATTACCGCGATCAAAAGAAATCGTTCTTAACTGACAACTTTTGGATTGTGTGCTCGCTACCTATTCTTTGTCTCGCTGTGTCTATCAGCAGATTAGTGAGGGGTCATTCATGATGTCAGATAATTAATTGATAACCTTTGAAGACTTCGGGGGATCACGTGGGTAAGACGCTGGCTCGCTAGCCTGGAGGTCGGGTAAGTTCATCCAGATTTTCCGGCGTGCCCCCCCCCCCCTTGTCAGTGATGCAAGACGGAGGGCCTGACAAGGACAGTTATCTAGTCCTTCGGATGAGACGAAAAACCGAGGTCCCGTGTATACACTGGAATGCACGTTAAAGATCCCTTGGCAGTTGGAAATCGATATAAGAGTAGGCGATAGTGCCGCTGCCCGGGCAAAATTTCCTTCATAGCACACTGTATTAGGGACGTTAAACCCCATTTCATTTTGAAGACTTCGGCCGTCTCCATTAGCCCAGGTTAGGAGCAGAACAGTAGGACGTTAAACCCCATTTCATTTGAAGACTTCGGATAGTTTTTTTTCACCAAGTTTTATAAAATCACTCATTGTTAATTGCATGTGTATCTATTTAGAATAATCGTCATTTTGAAAACTGTAATTTCCAGATCATAATAGTTAATTGTGTGTCTGTATTTGTAGTTGGTAAGGGCTTTAAAGTCTGTTTGGCTTGTTTTTGTATATTACAGCCGAATGCAGCTGGAAAAAAAGTTCAGGAACTCTTAAAGCATACCTGGAGAACCAACGAATCTCATAATATAAGTCACGACCAGACAGTTAAAATCAGAGCTTTTAAAGGTGCATATAAATTGTTGGTACACCATAATGGTAAAGTTATACATACTGAGAATTTTACAGTGGGGAATAGTGGTAATAGTTTGAAAATAAACATCAGTGGAACAGGTAAGTTCTTTCTTCCTATTCTTTTCACTCCGATTCATCAGTACGAAGTGCATTTTAACGTTCCGGTACCAAATCTAGAATGCCTGAAAGTTATGCCAACTTCTTCTTATTGTGGACTACCCATCTATATTTTTAATACCAAGTAGTAGTTTCTACTGTCAGGTGTGATCTTTTATTCATCATTCAGATATAGATGAAATGAGGCCAGCCCCCTCTACTCCCACTCCTCCATCCTCACGATTAGAGGAAAATGAAAGTGTGTTTGTTTTAAACACAATTGAGCAAGTCTGGGGATAATTAATGATGTTCAAGACGACATCTACCCTAGATCTTGAGGCCATAGGCTGCTACGTGTGGTTTAAAACCCGGTTCTTTCATTCATCATTGATATTTTGTCTTCTATATCTGTGGGGTTAATGTATCCGTTATAAATAGTATTATCAACATCGGCACCTATCTAATGACGGGGCCAGTTGCTGGGTTACATCTTAACAATTTGAATATTTGGTGGTAGTGTATGGTTAACAGAGACTGTATTAATCGTATGATGTATCTAGGAACATAAGCGCAACATTGACATATGGCAGTGCTTTTTTCCCAAAAAAAATCCAGGTAAATAAAAGTGCTATTGACCTATGACAGGCCTATTGTTTTTGATGTTATGTTTATTATGACGTAGCTTAAATCGTCCACCCCATCTGGTAGTATTATGACATGTTTCACTAAACTGTAGGACATTATAATATCAGGGGCATATTATGTTTTCGTTAAAACAACTTAAAATAATCCTACTAGATTTTTAAAGTTTAAATGAAACATAATATGATTAAAGATACCTTCTCGTGTACAAACCGTGTGATTTATAATATATTTGGACTAAAATATATTCAAACCAATTTATCTGTCAAAAGTTTTCTACAATTTCTTCTCAAAACAATTCAAGGGGAACAAAACCGCGCAAATGTATTTTCAATCATCACATAACGTGATTGAGGGAGAATCCATTTGTAGCTTGTATTTGTCGTTAGCCGCTTTCCATCTACCATAAATATTGAAGCTTAAAGGAGCTAAGTCGCTAATATTTAGGACCTAGAAATTGACACAAATGGTTGCAGAGCATACAATAATGCAATATGAATGTATATAAATTGATTTACATTCAATCGTTTCTGTTTTTACTGTAATTTCTAATCAGTTAGGATCGGCGAAATACGCCAGTATTCTCAATCGAATTTCAATCTCTAGCGTCTGGTTATTCCAGTCTACGCCGATAGTATTTATTGGGCATGCTCTCCAGATAAGAATATAGCGTCACCGTTTGACATAACTTGTGGAATATGCCTAGCCTCTTTTTTCGAGTCCCTTATTACAAATAGCGCTGAAACGCATTATGGTACACGATTCGTGTACCAATTGTAAAATGTTTATTTTGTCTTTAAATATTGGATATCAGAAGGCCATCTTTTCACGGTAAGATGACAGCATCAATGTTGATTTAAATTGATAAATAAATCGTGTTTTCAATGTGGAAGATTTTTGATGATATTGAGTTAGAGACTTAGCTACTTTAAGTAAATTGCTGGACTGTCCCCTGTCAATTCCTTTTTAATTGAAGTGTCTACTGGCCGTTTTATTCTCTGAATGACCTCAAAAACGTTAGACATTAGATCCACACTTAAGAAACGATCCTTACGTCACTCGTGTAGACAGCTGAACTGGCAGCCTGTCGTTTAGGGATGCCGTGATATTTTGTCTTGTGGGTGTTTTTCAGGGAATCCATTATTTCTTTCTAGCTACTAACTATAACTACCCGATAATTAATTTCTTGGGATAATATCTTTAAATTGTTATCCTACAGTAAACTGATATAATTATTACTGTTTTTTTTTCTCTTGCAGGGTCCAATCCTCATGTTGACCATGTTATAATCGGTTAAAGAAATAAATAAAATAAACTGGGATACAAACAAACAAACATATTTTATATTCTCTTTACAAAATGAAAAACAGTTAAATATTACCCTGTTGATATATCACAGATATTAATTATTAAAGGCATGGAACAACTAGTAACACTTCCCAATTACGGTTGGCTATTACCAAAGATATGGAACACCTGTTGTCACTTCCCAAATAATGGTGGCTACAATACTGTGTTCATATTATGTCAAGATTGGTTATACTTATGGTGTCGCTTAATAAATATATCTCGAATGAATGGTCGATATGTAGACTCCTATGTCTTTCATAGTATATTACAAAAGTTTGATTTAGATTTTGGCTTAACCGGAGGTCTCGATCATTTAGACAAATATTCTATGACTATTAGTCTTGATGGGTTGTCAACATTTGCGAATAACTAGGACACTGGCTAGGTCAAAATTTAAAGGAGGTAACTATAGCCCTAAAACAAGATGTCGACGCCAATGAAATTAATTTAAGAATTGCCATTTCAGAAAAATCTATTTGCATTGCCAACACTTTTTTATTAATCCTAATTCGTCGTCAATTTAGCTAAAAAGTTCCATTCCCCATGCGTAACCGGAAGTGTGGTGTTTTATGTGGTTGATTATCCAGTAAACTTCGCCAAATGTTGACAACCAGCCCAGACCCTCTGTACTTTAAGACTAGGAGGTTCTGGTTGACCGAGACTACATAACTCCTGGTTAGTGAGTCAGCGCAATTCTTACCTAGGTGAAGTGTGTCTTTTTCAAAGAATAATTCTCATTAAATGTGATATTGTGGGGTCGGTTCATACCAATCGCACACATCCCGTAGTAATTTTCAGTTTGTTCTTATAAAGCAATCAGACATCCATTCGTGTATAATTCACTAATAGTGCGTAGGTCGTCCAGGGAACGGAGTAAAATACACCATGTGTAATAAAATAAATTCATAACCAACCTTCTGTTTTCCAGTAAATTCAAAATGGTGTCCACTCGCTCTATGATATTATGATCTGTAGGTTGGTGCATGTAGAAAGTCTCTGTCTACGATATCACACTAGGTGAAGTGGACGTAAAACTCTAGGAACGAACGAAGGAAGAAAGTTTCATAATGATTGGATAACAACAAAGGTCAAATTGTTTCCGTTGAAACAAAGTACAACTACGTTAATAGGTTCATACATTTAACGGTATTTGAGGTATGTCCCGGATACGACACCGAAACTACATGAAGGGCGGACTAACGTATGGATTCCATATGGATCCCATTGCAATGCCATCTCCCACTCTATACTTTACGTATATATACCTCTGGTTCTGTATTGGCTACTATGACAAGAATCTGAATTAAAGCTATTCTTATAGTATCATCTGAGTAGTAAACTACAGTACTTAAAGGGTTATTTCCGGTAGGGGTTATCTTCCCCTGTTTTGTTTACCTTAGCAACGTTTTATGGGCGTGGTTGTTGACCCTAGTTACGATAGAATCACGTGACAATGACGTAATTGTAGTGCCGATGGAATCCCGTGGCAACTAGGTAATATGAAGTTGTGAGTTTAAATTTGAATTGTGGATGGGGGGGGGGGCGTGTCCCCGTAATGAGCGTGCTTAGTTCACCTCAAACCCGCGGACGCTCTGATCATCTTTTCATTCAATGTATTATTGGTGGTGTGAATCAAAATGTTTTATTTGTACCGCGCATGGGCCCCGCCTCGCCACGCCCCAACGTCTTTTTCGTCGTCGCTTCAACCCAAAGACCAAAACATGTCCTAAAAGACATTCCCGTCAATTGTATAGTTAATTGTATTTGTTAATTGTATTTGTTAATTGTATTTGTTCATTTAGTCTTGTTATTTCCTCATTTAGTTGATTATTTATAATCTAATTATTCATAATCTAATTACTTTTTTTTTTCATGAATTCTTTTTCATGAATTCTTTTTCATGAATTCTTTTTCATAAATTCTTTTTCATGAATTATTCATAATTCAATTATTTTTTCATTATTTTTTTTTATTAATTAATTTCTTTTCATTAATTTTTTTTTTTTCATTAATTCTTTTTTTTTCATTAATTCTTTTTTTTTTTCATTAATTCTTTTTTTTTCATTAATTCTTTTTTTTTCATTATTTTTATTTTAAATTTATTTTTATTTATTTAAATTTGGTGAAATTATTTACTGGTCTGGTGGTAGTTCTCAATTTGATCTTTTGAATTTCACGACAAAAATTTGGTTTTAAATAAGAGAAATGAAACGAGTTTTAACGTCCATACTGACTAATAGGGACTAGATTAATATTTTGGAACTTGAATATTCTCAGATGTCACCAATCAAATAATTGTAGTCATTTGTAGTATTAAGTAAAATATTAATTAGTATATTAATTGTTTATATTAATTGAGGTTAATCAAACTCGTGTACTTGTTTTAAAAAATACAAGCTGTACATCGTTAAGGTATGAGGAATGTTTTAAAATGATAATTGTAGTCATTATCGTATTAATTATATGTTAATTAGTATATTAATTGTTTTATATTAATTTAGGTTAGTCTAACCCTAACGTACTTAAATGTTTTTATTTTAGCATTTGAAATATATTTAAGAAAAATAAAAGTGGTTAGTTCTTTAAAAACCAGGTTAATAATATTAATATTACATTATGTATTTAACAGATGTTTTTCGGGGTAGAAGGTGAACTTTTGACCGATATTTTAAAAAATGCAATGGACCTTTTTAAATATGCCAATAACCTCTATATTCCTTCTAGGCCAGTTATTTTAATTTTTTTTTTTTTTTTTTTTTTTTTGCCGAGTTGTTAAAAAATTACAATCTCTATGCTGTTGACGCGTAAGAAAATGTTTTTTAAAAAAATGACCAGATAATTGTAGTAATTAATGTAATAATTAATATGCGAATTAATTATATTGTTTTATATTGATTAAGGTTAGTTAAAACCGACATACTTCAGTAAGATTTTTATTTATTTTTTATTTTAGCCTTTGAAATATATTTAACAAAAAATATAAGAGGTGACCTCTTTTAAAACAAACTGACGGCTAACACTAGATAATGTACTTAACAGATGTTCTAACCGATGGCTTTTGATTTTAAAGTAGATAAAACATAATATCTTGCAGTAAAACATTCCATCCACATATATGTGTGTTACATACAGATGTGATCATGTGATCTGTTTAAAAAAGGGAGCGGCTTACTTAAAAGCTGATGACGAAGCACCATTCCTTTGTTCAATGCCAATCTTTCAGTCTTTCACGTGGTGGGTGACCTTTAGACCGATATACTAAAACTTAATCTGGAACTATTTAAAATATGTCTATGAACTTTTGTAAACTTTTCCATTGACCTGAATTCATCTAAAATGCAAATGACTTGCGAAATACACAATTGTCATTGGTTTTCTAGGTCTTGCATGAAATGGAAATTCACCGAACATGCAAATAATTTGTGACATACACTCCCTCATTGGTTCTGTTAGATGACCTTTATGCCGTCTGAACCGTATATGTAAATGACTTTGTTTCTGTGGTATATAACCACGATTCCATAAGACCTTCTTACCATTTTTCAAACTTGTGTATCAAAGGAATCCCTTCTATCCTTATAGATTTTTCATTCATTAGTTGTTGTTTTTTTTCAATAAGTGATGTACATATGATTTATTTTAATTTGATGAAATCATTTACCGATTATTTGTAGATATTTGTTTTAATTTGATGGAAAGTTTGCTTCTGTAGTCAAATGTTTGAAATTTGAACAATACTTTATCTGCTGATAGTTTTATATTTAATGAAAAGTTTTAATAAAATGTGGTGGTATGATGAATCTGTTCCAATATTTGAATTATGAAAATAGTATGACCAAGTTTCCATGACCGAAATATGTTCTTTCTATAAATGGGTTTTATTTTCGTTACACAGTATTTTAGATTCGATTTATATATTATAGCGGTGGTCACTGTTATCTTGTATGGAGTTATGACATGTTTTAGCACCATGTAATTTAATATCTTTGAGAACTAAAGAATATGTCTTCTGTAAAGGCAATTTGGTGACTATGTTTAATTAACACCAGTCGTTTAGTTTTGACATATGTTTTAATCATCAAAATAAAAGTCAAGCACCTTGGTGTCATTTGATATTCTTGAGAACCAAAGAATATGTCTTTGGTCTGGGAAAGTTTGGCATGTGTTATATAACCAGTGTCTTAGCTGTGTCAGATGGTTTAGCTATCAAATTACAAGGCAACACGACTTTGGTGTCATCTGATATTCTTGAGAATTGAAGAATGCGTCTGTTGCGTGGCAAAGTTTGACAGGCGTTTTTATTGCCAGTGCCTTAGCTGTGCCAGATGTTTAAAATGTTTTCAAAGTATTTGCTTTTTTTTGACAAAAGATTTTGGACAAAGAAAATTTGATTTTGCTTAAGTAAATCCATCTTAATAAATGATGACTCCCAACACACACACGCATGCACAAACACACACTCGGTTCCCAACATGCACACATACACAGATTCGCCAACCACACTCATAGGCTGTCACACCCACACACAACCCTCCCAACACACACACACAGTGTTCAACATGCACACATACACACCCACTACACTCATGGACTGCCACACTTAGACACAACCCTCCCACCACACACGCTCTAATTGACTGGGACACCGACACACAATCACCCACAAATCATCTTAACTGTCAAATATAGAGAATGTAATTCAATGTTAAAAAGCGTACTTACCCTATACGTGGCACGAATTAAATACCCGTCATAAAATGTACACATTTCCCAGCGCTTGGAAATATATGACACCATACTATAACAGATGTGCTTTAACTTTTTTCCTTTTTTTTTTTTTTTTTTTTTTTTTTTTTGCTGTGTTCGAACTGCGGGGAGCATAGAAAGCAAAGTTCTACTCGGGTACGGTGTCAGAAGAAATCGAATTAACACATTTACAAGGCTTTTAAATTGATTCCTCGCTCGAACTGGAAGCCAGTGGG